TCACCTCTTTCCCCCAGAACATCAACTCTCAGACAGCAACAAGGGGTGGGTGGAAGAAGGGAATGCCCTACAGGTGTGGAGCATGAGTACAAGCTTTGAAGGGGCAGTTAGTAAAAATGTTCCCCAAAGCATTCAGCAGGTACAAGAGCTCAAGTCACTTTTTTTATACATTAGGTGCTGAAGTGGCTGTCCTGATCACAGAAGCACAGCACCTTGAAGACTTAGAGGTGTTTATCACCAAACTAATCCCACAAGTTAGAACAGCATTGCTATTTCCATTGTACTGCTAGGGAACTGAGTCACGGCACTGACGTAACTTGCCTGAGGCAGAAGATGAAGTCTGGGACAGAACAGAACTGAGCAAGAGTCCCTCAAATTCCTGGTATGCACTCCAAGTCCAGACCATCCCCATGGCCCATCACATTTGTGAAAACATCTGAGAGGGCTTTCAGTAGATAGTTAGGTTTTTACTTGCTTGAGCACACACATGCCAGCCATACCTATCTGGGTGAGTCCGCTGCAGCAGGACAGCGTGCCATTGCATCACAACCCAAAAACATGCTGCAAAGCCCACAGGAAGAGAACCTGGTGCCAGGCACGGGACTGCCTGGCAAACCACAGGGAGCCAAGGAACCTCCAGCACAAGCAGCATCATGCAGCACCTGATCCAAAGCCCAGCAGCAGCCACTGTCTCTAGAATGCTTTCAACACACTTGTTTTAATGATCACTCAACATGAGAGGTATTTGCAAGAGATCTGCTTCTCCATGTAACGAGGTCCAGCAGGTGAGGGATAGCAACTGGATTTTGCACTGCTCTGCACACTCTGAACCAAGCAAACCCAGACCTTAAAGGCATTAAGTTCTAGCCTTATGTTTTCCCTTCCAAGATGGAGCTTAACTGTTAAAATCCAGCGGCAACATAATGCTCAACTGAAGGAGCTGAAGCCATTGGACAGCTGAACTTAGTAGAAATGCTCACCAAGAGCTGGAAAAGCTCTCCATCTGTTCAAAGATGAGTCAAGAGATGACAGTGCTCAATCTCTGGCGAACTCCAGAGATATCTTGGAGCTGTTTTCTCTGAATGACAGTGAACATTGGACGAAAACCCTGACGAAACTGATGGAAGTCATTTAGCACACTTGAGCTCAGTTCTCTAGCAAGAGGGCATTAACCACAAGGCACCAGGGTGGGCTATGGTAGCTGTATTTTACAAAGATAAAAAAACTGCCTGAAGTTTGTGCAGCTGGAAAATGAATGGAGTCATTGCACAAAAACCAGCCACCACTGGCAGCAGCAGAGAGATAAAAGTTGCTAGAATTTGATTGCTCTCATTATTAAAACTTATCTTTAACCATCTCTGTCTATTGATTTCTAGCCAACTATTAACTAGCAATGACCTTAGCAGCTTGAAAATAACTGGGGAAGTCAAGTAAACAAAGGGGAACCCAGCTGCATACAAAGAACCAAGATATTTACAGAGACCCTCGCTTCTGCTCATTGCAATAAACTTGAGCTGAGTATTTTTCCATTTAAACATCTGAGTCAATGATCCAAGAAACTGAGGGTGTGGACAAGCAACTGAGTATAAAGAGGAGCAAAAGGAAGGAATAGGAGCTAATTGCAATTGTTTCTAGGGTCTTGAATTAAAATAATCTGAGGTAAAGTCAGAAGACAAAGGCTTATACATTGGGAGTTTAGTTCCACTGCCTGTAAGCCTTCTGGTATATTAAGCATAAGCACTAGTTATGCACAGGTCAGTTTGACTTTCAGGATGCACCATTATACTGTACCTACTGCCAAAGAAAGACACTGTCTTTTAAAAGTGTGATGAAAGTGAGCATCAGGAGTTCTTCTGGAATGAGAAACCAAGTATTTAATCTCACATTTTATCATCAATACCCCAGCCATTCCAGGTACCACCATTCCTCTTCCCATGATTCAAGAATTTGCATCCTGTGTGCCTCCACTTCACCAGCACATCTACCCTGGTGTCCCACAAATTTCCCTTCATACAGTGCCCCAAGATCCCCTCTACAGCCCCCATGACCTGCCCCTTTCCCAGCCCATGCTTCCAGGACTGATGACATCCTCTAAACTCTCCCCCTTTCCAACATCAGCTCCCTCTCATGTCCTGTAACTACAAGTGGGGCAAGGAGCAGTATTTGCTATGGCATGTGCCAGGCTGTGTGCCAGCTGTACACCCATCCAACTGGCCAAGCCGTATCTAACTTCTGATAACTCCCAGAATCTTGTACACAGGGCACACTATTGCCTGATCATTGATTTTTTTACAAGAAGCTTTTAGAAACAGGGTTGTTTGAGACTTCAGCTTCCTTGTTTACAGTGTTTGAAGGTCAACAAGTGCTGTTGTGTTTTTTTTTTTTTTGAAGGAATACAATAGAAACTACCAGTATTACTGTTTGGGAAATAATTAACATTCTTACGCACCACTTTCTGCACTACCTCATTTTTGGCCTTATGATCAGAGCAGATGTTCCTAAGAAAATCTCAAAATCCTGGAAAAACCTTGTTAGCACATGAGCCTGTTGAATCTAATAGCCACTCTCCGCAGGAGGAAAGTCCAAAATGGGGCCAATTTGTGGTGACTGCACAGATCAGAGGGGAAAATTCTGGAGAAACATTGGAGCATTGGGTTTCAGAGGTCAAATGTGGGTCTGTTTCTCGTTGGGGAACAGAGGTGGGGGCATTCACATATCTAAGTTCACACAGGGCATTGTCAGCTGTAATGGAGCAAGAACCACCAAGGTCTCTTTAGTCATAGTTCCACACTACAGAAGAAGCTCTTGCAAAACTCTGGTGCTTCCAGTTTGTGGGGAAATCCTTCAGAAGAGCTTTGTGTGCTCTCATCCTCACCCTAGAGGATCTAGAACTGCCAGTGAAGCATGAATGAGCAAAATCATTTGAGACCAGAAGAGGAAGCTATCCAAGATCTTCTGATTTCCAGACATCTGGACTTAAGTAAAATATTTTTGGCAATTCAGCCATCCACACAGATGACTTTTTGGACTGACACTCTGATGACCCTTCAGCCACCCAACCTTCACATTGAATTTCATAACTGTTGACCTGATTTGGTCATATCTAAAGGACTGGTAGAAATTTCGGCAACAAGAAGCATCCAGTGTTTGGAAGAACCCTGGAAGTAGAGATGAAGACCCAGATGAGGTCCCCATTGCAGAAGGGCCTGTGCTACACAACCCTTTGGAAATAGCTTGTGTGTCCTGCCCGGCCAACAAGTACTTGCACGGTTCTGTCCCTCTACAGCATTACGTTATCTTCTGTGTTGTAAATTCACAGGAAGAGCTGTGTGGAAAGAGCTGGGGTTGTTATGGCAGAAACAGAAGTAGGATGAAAAGGCCAAAGGACAAAAATCCACAGGAGACTGCAGTAACTCTGCTGTTCAGGAAACAACAAGGCTCTTTCCCATCCCTTCATCTTCTTCCTGTGAAGGGTGAAATTACCCACCCTAAAGACAGGAAGACACATCCACCTCCCTCACCAGAAGAGGCACAGTGTTATAATAGCAGGGCTATTTTTTCCCCAGGAAAAAGGATGAAATCAGCTATTTACACTGGACAAATTACAAGCTCTGGAAAGCACATGAGGCACACAAAGAGAGCAGTTGTATCACAAATAAATATATGGTGGGGGTTAAACTTATTGATTAGCTTTGTAAACGCAGTTGCCCAATCAATAGCAATTTCTGGAAATGCCTGGTACTTATTTGGTGCAGCTTGTACAATGAGGATAAATAATAAGAGTACTTAGGGAGCACGTCTCCTGACACCATTGCCAAGCCCCTTACAACACAAAAACAAACTACGGTACAACTGCACAAACCAGAATTAATCCACTACACCTTTAAAAAAAGAAAAAACAACAAGCACAAATCCAAACACTCACACTATCAAAATAAGCACTTGGGTCCCAAAGGTATCTACTTGTGCTCCTGCTGGTTTTGCTGTATGTGACTAGGGTTGGATCCAGGACAGTACAAAACTCATAAATTTGCTCTGCCCTGTTGGGTGAGCCATGGATCCTCACAAGATCCCTGCTCTGTGGAAGTACACAACACCCTCCTTCCTCCCTGAACAACCAGATTGCTGTAGGAATCCCTCTGGACACAGCCTCAAATCTTGGGAGATAAAGAAAGGCAAAATCAGCTTGCTAGCCCCAACACCATGCCATCGCTAGCCCTGGGTTTGAGCACATTGCTCTCTCCCATCACCGTATTCTTCGTCTAGACCCAGCCATACGAGAGCAGGGTCACATATTGGGCAGCAGAACCCCAAATAAGCCATGACACGCACTGCTGGCACAATGGAGATGCAGCACAAAGACCAAGCTGCCTCACCATGGGGGCTGCAGAGTTCCCCGTCAGCCCTGACCCAGGCTTTTGGATATACCTCATCTCTGCAGTAAAAGTAGCACCTGATGGGAAGGAGAGAAAATCCACTCCAACTCCCCACGGGCTCCTCTGCTTCCCTTCTTCACAGATAGGAAGTTTGCTCACATTGTAGCATGAGATCATAGCACAGGAAAGACTGAGGAACCAGACACTCATTTAAGCTGCAGCTTTTTTAGTGCAGCTGCCAAAGATAATGATGTTTGCGTGAAACGTGTTTACAGATATTGCTCACAGCCCTCCAGTGAGGTGGCCTGCTCAAGAGCCACTGGCCAGCTCATCACAACAAAGACTTTCACCCACCCTTCTTACTTTACCTGGCTGTGTCACTCCAAACAAGACGGGGCAGGCAGCTCTCCAGTCTATCCCAGAGCACCCAGCACAGCTCCTGGTGGGGAAAAGCAAGAAGGGAAAAGTCCTTACAACCTAATTCCTCATATACTTTTTGGCTGCTGGTGTATTTACATGCAAATGGCTGCCAGCTGCATGCTGAGGGGTTCATGATAGCCACGATTCTCACTGGGAATAACCTACAGGTGTTTCTCATTCTTGCCAGGGCTTTGCTGACTTTTCCCTTTAGCTCAGCCTTTCTCATGAGGTCTCAGGACCCAGTGGTCTAAGACAAATGCTGAAACCTTGTCTGTCCTGCAGGAAAAATATCATTTACTCCATCCCTCAGTGAGAGGCTGCATGGGACTGCGTTGGTTTGTAAATTGTGGCAGGATGAGAGCAGTTAATGTGGAGTAGGAATGATTCATTTTTCTGCTCCTAAAATGCTGGTATTACTCACCAGAAAACTCCCCACATATTCTGAGGGATTTCAGTGCTTTGTGCCTTTTATTAACAGCTCATCTTGTTTGCTTCCTCGTCACAGCATCCTTCTCATAAGGACTTCCTGCATCCTTTGTCACCACCTCACAACATCATCGCGGTGGCCAAATGGCCTGTGGAGGCTGGAAAAAACATTAAGCAGTTAGGGATCATGATCGCTCCGGCACTTCCAGAAGGCCACGTTAGCCTCCGTGACTGCAGCCAGCATTCACCAGCACCGTTAGGCGCCCAGACTGTGGGTTGCATGGAGCTTCCTTGTGACTCAAAGCAATTTTCATTTACAATCTAGAGCTGAACACGCGTTACCAAAGAGTGCATAAATAAAAGCCTTCAGGCTTATTGCACAAATGGGATTTGTGCCCTTCCTTGAATTCCAGCAGCTCCATGGAGGGAGTGCACACATGCTGCTTTTGGGTAGGATCATGAGATAGTATGGGGAATTAAAGACATAGCCAGGTTACTGCAGCTATCTGTGCCCTAGTGTCCTCAGCTGTAAAACACGTTTCCCTTGCATTGACCTTTAGGCTAAACAGTATAAATCTGTAGGCCTGGAGCTGCTACACACAAAAGGCTACACCAAAACAGGAAAACTGGGGGCTATTGAGAAAGCAGAGGAAGGGGACGCATTTAATGTAGGAGCATTGTGGGCAACGTCTCCGCTTTTGCTCCCTCCTACCAAAACCTGAATTTGCTCCTTGCGTTGTTTTTTGTTGTTGTTGTCGTAAATAACTGATGTGTGAAATGCTGACTCATAAGTCTGGGGTTACAGGAAAGGAAACTTCGTTTCTTGGTTAAAAAAAGTTAATTTCACAGCATCGGTGGCTTCCTCCAGGGCTGGCTGGTGAGACCTTGGCCACACAGCGCGCCCTGCAGACACGGCTGGTCGGCTGGTGGTTGGGTTTGTTGGTCTGCAACCAGGAACCCAAATGCTCTGCCAGGAGGCTGGTGACCCCTCTGAATGAAGAGGAGCCTGGCTGAGCTCCAGAAGCAGATGCTGGCCTTCCCCAGTTGCTGTTGTGTCAAATAACAGTGACGAGTCCTCCCAGAGCTCAGAACATGGGCTGCTCGGTGCTGCAGCCTTAGCACGAAGCCCTTCACTCCTCAAACACCTTACCATAAAGGAACAGAGGGCACGTTATCTGCACCTCACAGGAGAGAAGAGCCTCAGATCCTTACATTTGTCTCAGCACCTGACCTGCACTGGTTTGCACAGCTCTCAGGCACTCGCGCTCCTGCAGTGAGCCACACGCCAGTGACTCACCCGGCGTCAGACGGAAAGTCTGCAGCAAAGACAACTTCAACTCTTCTGGCGCTCACGGAGGCACTTCTAGCACCCAGGGCGCAGTGACACTTCCCCTCACTCCCTTCAAGCAGCATTATTTCGTCGCGTCTGCCAGGCACAATTTGCTGCTGGGATTTTGCTACTTTTATCTCTGCTCTTTGATGGACACCCCTGCGACACTTTTGACTCATCTTCCTTCTAATATTGTCGTGATAGGATTCGACGCCCCCTCCTTTCTGCCCAGACTTTGTAGAAAAGGGGAATTTGGAAACCTCGTTCTTGAGCAACTGATGATAGCAGCTCCATTGTGCCTAAGAAAATCAGTCACAGTCTGTGCCTCCAAAAACCGTAGGCATTTTGTTGCTATAGCTGTGCGTTGTGTTGCCTATGGCTGTGCGAGGCGCACAATAGAGAACCGGCCTCTGTCCCACAGAGCTTGAAGTCTTAGCAGCAACCCATACACCAAATGTTTACTGTATAAATATTTAGCTAAACAAAGCATCCCAGTCACATAAAAGCTCCATAGCTCAGAAAGGTCAATGGAGAAACGAGTTTTTCAGGAGGCTGGGTTTATCCATAGTATGGCAACGTGCAGAGCTTCCTTGTCATGTCTAGAGTGAAGTGAAAGCTCAGAGGGACAGAAGGAAGCTGAGATGTAAGCCCTTCTCATTCAAACCTTTCCCTTGCAAACCTTTCCTAAGTAAAATATTCCCCACTAGAAAAAGTAAATAAATAAAAAAATAGAAGCTCCAAAAGTTGAGCAGCATCTTCCTACGTTGGGCTGATGGAGCTGGGAAGTGCTCAGTGCCTGTTGGACAAAGAGATAGCTCAGATGTGGGGTAGAAAGGGAGTTATACTGGCTTGAAATCCTTCTATCATGGCAGATCAGTTCCTTGAGTATATGTCAACAGGTACAGATGCTGCTGTGTGTATGTATGCATAAGAGAAAAGAGATGGCACGACATCAGAGGCAGATTAGAAGAACCCCCTAAACCTTGCTCGTTTACTGGGAGAGAGGTTTCCTTGAGTTCTTGATACTAATGAGAGTGAGGAAAGAGTGTTTCTCTTAACTCTTGAGGAATGTTTTCCTATTTAAATAATGATCAACTCTAGACTGAAGTGGGATGCTCCTATGCAGAGCCTACACAATAACAAGCTGTATTTTTTTCTTTCTTTTTCTTTTCTTTCCTTTTTTTTTTTTCTCCTTTGCCAAGCAAAGTTCAAACCACTAGAAAGTGCTTATGGTGCTTCCCTGTAGCACTCACGCTACACACTGCAAAGTACTGGAAGAAGACAAACAAGGACTCAACAAACTTGTCAGGTTCACAAACCTACACCTACCACAAGGGCTCTTCGGGGTGACTGAGGAACCAGCATCCACGCCCTGTAAGCCCACGCTGTGGCCAGGCTTGAAGTCCTGCTGTTCCTCCAAGCCACCAAAGCACCATCCTCCACGGCTGCAGCAGGAGGTGGCAGGACATGAAATGTGGATGCATGACTTAAAAATTAATAAAGAAAGAAAGAAAGAAAGAAAAGAAAAAAATAATACAAAGAAGAAGAGCTTCATTTCCTCTTGGTCAGGCTAGCTTTGTTAACTAAAGTGGCTGGAGAAACTGCCTGTGGGCTTGGCAGTGGTGTGGAGGACTGGCCAAGCAAGGGCACAGGTCTCTGGGAAACAGCCAAAACCACAGACATTTTTGTGCTTTTCAGCTATGCCAAGGACAGGTCATGACTCTGCCCTTCAGCCTCATAGTACGAGGGGTATTTGGGTATCCCTAGAAATGCCATCCTCTGCCTGGCTCTCTTCTGCGAGGATCAGTGTCTACAAAACATGCACACATGCATCAGCATCTCCCTGTGTATAAACGTCTTCATACAAGTGACTTTGAAGTTATTTATCTCTTGCTGTTAATTTTTACAGCCGGTGAGAGCACCTCGTATGGCTGAGCTCCCTGTGTATCTTCAATAAATTTAAGTTTTGGGAATATGGTGGTGATCCAACATTAAGACACCACTGTGCTAGGTATATTTCAGTAAATCTCATGTTATTTTTCCCCCTTTTAGACCAGCACAGCCACAAAGATGAGTATTATGTAAGAGAGGAGTCAGATGCCTGACAAAGCTCTTGCTTCAGCAGAGAGCCACTGCTATCTGGACGTGTGAGCGGTGCTGCCTCTCAAGTGTGAAATGAGAACAATTCAAAACAGATGATTTATGAAATTTTTTTTTGTTTGATGCTGTATTATTATTATTACTATTATTATTGTTGTTGATGTTGTATTCTTGCTGATAAAAGCCTGTGGTTACTGGGCTTTTACTTTGTATTTCCTATCTTACAATTTGGGTTATTCCTACTGCAAAACAAGACTGATGGCAAGATAATTCAAAGCAAATTGATTACTGCCATATTCTCAATGGCTGTTAGCACATCCCAGCCTCCTTTTCTAAACTCCACCCCATCCTGAGAAGCACTGGCAACCAAAACTTGTTTTAGGGAGATCCCAGTCTTTCAGTTCTTCACTGCACTTGGGATTACCTTGGTTTGTAACACGCTCTGATTTTGTTTCGGTCTGTGTTATGCAAGATTTTTTCTGGTCAGCATCAGACGCAGTGTCTCACGGTAGGTTATAAACTGTTCACAGAGGAGAAAAAATGATGGTTTAAAAAGCTCAGAGGCTGAGATCCAGATTCTTTGGCACCTCAAATTATACCCAACAGCACTTCCAATGCATCCCATCAGCAAAACCCTTGAGACTGCTACAGCCACGTGTCAAGTGGCACAGAGGATGCCACTTTTGTGGCAAGACCTTTATTATGTGAGATGTTGTAACACAGGACAAATGATTGCTTGCCCCCAGAGCTTGCCATAATGCAATCTGTAGGGCAAGGGGTGCAGGCGCAGGGGGTACTCCAAGGAAACACAGAGTGGCACAGGTCGGAGTGACAGCCAGTTGTCTGAGTGCAACCTGGCCCTAATTTTTCCAAAGAGAGGGCTTAAAGGAGGTCAGTGAGGCATCGTGTGGGAAGTTTTGGGGTGCTCACCCCAAGCCCGCCTGTCTGCATTCCCAGCGCCCCATGGGAGAGCTCCTCTTTCTCGGGGAGCATCCGGACCAGTGGTGCCTATGATGCTTCCTGACATTCCTCTGATGGGAAATGTGCTGAGCTACTGAACTTGTCTCTGCTTATTATAATGGAATTATAATGACTGATTACAGCCTCCAATCAATGCTGGAAATCTCACCTGGAGGCTGCACAGCTCTCAAGTCAATACCATCTGAGCCTCACTGAGACCTCATCCAGCTGGGGCGAATCAAGCCACGTCCATTTGCTCCGTGGCATGGTCTAGAAAGTTATCTGAAATGTCTGGTGTGGATTTGCAGCTTGTAAATATGTGCAGAGCCAGATACCTCTCCGGAAGAAAGAAACAGTCCTTTGGAAGGTGTCAAGAAGACGAGACAGCATATCACAGTCATGTAACAAGGGGGTGGTGAAACTGCCATTACGTTAAGGCTGAGCAACTTATGATTACCATGTCCTGCAAATGTTTTCAACGTTTGAGCATTTTTTCTTAAATGCAAATAGAGGTGATGATAAGTATTTTTACAAATAAAGTGTGGAAAAAAGCTCAGTGGGGGCAATCAACACGGCTTCATTTTGATAACTTTGAAGTGTTTTGTGTTCAGCCACGTAAAAAAAAAAAAAAAAAATCTCATTAGCTTAAATTGTGAAATCAAAAGTCATTTTGAATGAAATGAATTTTTCGTTTTGGAAATGACAATAGGGCAATTTCCAACCCTTAAAACACAATTCAAATTGAAAAATTTGCCCAGTACAACCCCTTTCAAGGAAAACGTTTCTTTTTTTTTTTCATAAATTAGCATTTTGGGGTGATAATATGGTTCATCAAAAACCTCTGCGCCTCAATAATCTGCATCCAGGCTTCCCCTGATTGCATGGTGACTGTGCGTTGCTTAATTGTGTGTGACTAATACAATTTCATGTGCATTTCCGTGCGCTGGGGATTCATTGTTGCCACATACCACCATTGGGAAATCGCTAAGCGTGTGCCTGTGAAACAATGACAGGGAGACAAGAGTGCCTCCTCCGGAGAGAAGACCTAGGAGGAGGCGTATGACTGGGAGCAACAAATTATCCGTGCGGAATAGGCAGAAAACAGAGCGGTTTGTGTCTTCTCCCTGGTTTGAGGAGCACCAAGCCTCCTCTGTTGAGCAGGACTCACCGAGATGGTTTTCAAGAGGACCTGCTTAGGTGATGTGAGCAATGAATCCTAAGAAGTGCTTGAGAAAGGTGGGAGTGGAAGAGAAAAAAACTTTCTCAGGGAGAAATATCCTGTCTCCAAAGAGACAGGTGGACCATGAGTCCTCAGCAGCATGAGGAAGCAGCTTCAGAGGGACTCTTGTCCCTGGAGCTGGAAAGCCAGAGGAAAACTTTGAGCAAACTCCAAGCTCAGGGGCAGGGTTGGGACTCTCCAGGAAACACGTGGGAGCCTCAGAAATGGGATCCAAACAGCGAGCATCCTGAGCAATAAACCAATGGTGGTTGAGCCAGAAGGAGAAAGCAGGAGTGACTGTGGTTTTGTGTTGCTGGGAGGAAAGGCTTCTCCATCCGTGTATTTGCATAGACGAAACACATCACATTTGATCCAGGAAGGTGATGCACGTGAGTGCCTTAACCAGGAGGCTGAAGTGATTCACCACCTCACTCGGAGAGCCAGGGAGTCAAGCCTAGACAGCCTAGAGCTTGGCAGCGAGGCTGTGCTCCCGCGTGGTGGTACATCTCATCAGCGAGTCAGGTGAGGGAGAGGGAATGTGCAAACCTCAGCCCTAAAGGTGGAGCAGCTTGCTGGGTGTCTGTTGTGTGTTCGTAACACATCTTCCAGAAAGTGTTCCCCTGGGAAGCCAGGCTTTCCTCCACCGAGGTTCAGGATGCTGGAGGTGTAGGCTGTGCCGTTCGATGCTACCAAGAGTTGGAAGCTGTTTGGGGAAGGGGCAGAAACATCAACGTGGGTGCTGCAAGAGTTGGAAGCTGTCAAAAACCTTTGAGCTGAGGCATAGTCCAAGGTTAAATGGCAGCTGAGCAGGCTGGTTCCAGATTTCAGCTGTGGATTTGTTCCCTCATTTTCAGTCCTGTCTGCTTGCACCCAGCTCCCTGCAAGGGAGAGGTAAATGTGGGGAGAAATCCAGTTAAGAACACGAGGCATTCAGATGCTGCGGAGAGGGGAACCCTATAAATACCTGCGAACAAGGGGATGCAAACAGCCGTCTCCCAGGGGAAGCACCTGCTTTTTGCAGTGTTTATAAAAACAAAAATAAATGCAAACAGCAAAAGTCCTGCAGGCTCTGCCACACACAAACGCGGGAGGGAGGGGCAGGAAAACCCTTCGACGGAGATTTTTGTGAGAGCGACAGGCCTTCCCTGCCCGGCTGCAGTCCCAGAGCACGTCAGCTGCTTCGCCTGCCCTGCCACCCCAATGCCCTGCCACCCCACTGAGCCGTGCTGGCCCCTGTGCTGGGGAGGTTTCAGGGGCACCCTGCAGTGGAGGTGGCATTATTGTCACAATTCCTGCCAAGGCATGAATAAATGAGATAAATAATAGCACCTGTTCTGCAGGCAAGATGGCAGGAAGAGGCCTTTTCAACCAAACTGGAGGGACCCATCCTTTTTCCTCTTCCAGCAGGCACAAAGCTTCCCAGCAACACGAAACCACTGTCACTCCTCTGCTTCGTTGCCTATTTGCTTTCCACTGCCTGTTACCATTCAATATTTCTTCCTCTCTTTCTTCTCCTTCCCCTTGTGTTGGGTTTATTTACTCCCTCTCCACACATCCCAAGCCCCCACCACTACTCTTATTGCTCATCAGCCTCCCAATCCCCAAAAATATTTGCTAACCACTTAGCTAGCTTCTTCCTTTTCAA